ATAAAAAATATGGAAATCCGATCTCTCAAGACTAAATCGATCGATTCGTTTCAAACGGAACACATCTAAATATTCCTATATGTTGAGTCCAGTTAGACAAAGATGGATAATTACCACCGTTTCTATATACCCTAGAGTAGCTTTAAACGAATGCCAACCACAAAACGAAAATTTAGAGATGCGTATCTGCAACAAATACGAAAAATTCCATAAATTTCAGGCTCTGGAATCGCGTATACATAGATCCGGATAGTATACGATTTAACCCGAAGGTGGCAAGAGATCCTACACCACGGGCAGCGGCCAAAACGGTCTTTTCGCCAGGTGATTTTCTGCTGCAGGTTTTCTTCGAGGCATAGTGCAATACAATAATATACCTCTAATAGGTATGCTCATATTATCCGCAGACAATGTGTGAAGTCATTATTGTTGATAGTAGTTGGGACGGCTTCTTTTTTTTCTCGTCCATATACAACTTACTCAACAATTGCCGTTTTGCAACGAGCCCCTAGCCCCCTCCTATGTAACAGTATGTTTGACAAGCGCCGCTGCATCACACATGGCGAAAATATATATTAACGTATAGTCAGTGCTCGAAATGGAGTGGTGGGGGGAGGAGGGTACGGAGGGATGCCATCCCTCTACTTTTTTGTTACATGAAGAATAGATGAATGTTATGATGATATCAGGAAATCTGAATTGTAATAGTCATCCCTCCACTCATCTTGAGCCATTTCGACCACTGCGTATAGTCGCACATTTTTCCGTTTGTCCGTTATACACTTATTATACATTATAATAATATATATAGATACCAGATACGTCATATAAAACAATAGTAGGTATTATTATATTATACACGGACAGATATTATATTAATATACACGGGATGATCATTTTCACTGGAAAACACTTATTTTTGTGTTCTTCAAAAAAAAAAAAAAAAAATTGATTTCATAATATAGGTATATAGTTTTTGAAGTATTTTTATAAATTTATATAAGACTGTGAATTTGTAAAAAACTGTATTCGTTTGCCACATTTTAGCTTGCCCATAGCACGACGCTTGAGTTGTATGGAACAACGAATTCAAATTTAAAAAGTTTACCTAGCATTATTTGCATATTTTATTTTTAGATCTTTTAAAAAAAAAAAAATGATATAACACAATATAATAGTATGGTTTTTTTTTAAGCAATTTTGGTCGATTAACTTTTTTTACACACATATTTTGAATTTTTTGTTCACACGGGCTTTACTAATATTAGTTGAACTACCTACTGTATATAATTATATAATTGTGTGTTTTTTTTATTATAATTTTCAAGCACTAAAGCACCTGTTTAAATTAATTAAATCATTTTTTTGTTAGCTAAATATTAGCAAACAACTTTGACTTTTAAAACGTTAAATGCATATTCCAGTGCATTTTGTTGGTATGACATTTTAAAAGCATTTTTAAGAGTTATACTGTATATAATTAAATTTACAGCCCTATTTATAAACGATAAAATTTCAAAAAACAAAATCAAATTTTTACTACTTTTTACGTTCTCAGTGTATTTGAAGTGTTAAAAAAAATATCCATACTTAGAAAAACAGTGTGGTGGACCACCCTGTATATTGCTACGTCCGTGTTACCGTATATAACGTGTACGCGAGAACAAAGCCGACCGATATAGAGACAGACAATTGGTTTGGGGACGGGGCCCGACGGGCACACGAATTTCAGCACCGAAACTGATCAATTTGCGGGTTTTGACCGATGGCTATATACCGTATACGTGGTAAGTGTCTTACCGAGTGTAAACGTGCGCTGAACAATATATATTATTACCTTCGCCGGTGTCAACGGGACATTTTCTTGTTATTGGCACCCACCGGGACCGTTGCTTCGAATGCCAAATACCCCGACGAGGGTCTTCGACATTTCACCCTCGAATTCACACTATTATACAATAGGTGTATTGGAAACAGCGAACTTATATCGGTGGAACATCTCGCGAAGTAACTGAAAAATATTCGATCATAATTTATTTTTATTGATTATTTTTCAAAAATAAAGGGCAATTTATCTACGATCGACACACCTAATATTATAATAATATTATAATTTCATATTATAACTGACAACGACTTCGGGCACAGCACGTGACGTTTTACGATTTAGTGAATCAAATTCTAGTGGACGGAGAACGTCCCTCAAACTGTAAATTTCCGACTTCTCGAGTCTATTATGTTTTGGAGACAAGCCCACCATTCGTATCACGACGAACTGACCATCGAAAATATATCTAAATAAAAGGATAGGATGAACATGTTTCTTCGTGAAGAATAAATAAAAAAATACAAATACTTGGTTTGACGTATATTATATTTTGATATTATTGCCATATTGAATTTATCGTTGAAACACTGATGAACAGATCACATTAATTATTTCTCTCGCATGTGTAGCTGCCTCGAATATTGACACCCAATGGATTTATATTATATAAAAACAAATTTTTAAACATTTTTTTTATAAAAATATAGTCTAATATAAACGAATATTTTCTTTGGTATCAGCTCGGAAATCAGTCTAGAAATAATTGAATCAAAATGATTATGCAATTTATTTATACGTTATTTCTACAGTTTTGTACTCACAAAAAATTATATTGTCTACTTTTCATTTGCTACAACAAACACAATATTATTGAATGTTTATTATTTTACTTTAACGAATCTTTGTTCATGCAATACTCGCTGTACGCATTTATTATTACAGATGAAAACATATTTTATATAATATATATTAGAAATGTTATATAAGTATCGAAGATTTTGCAATCGTTACAATAAAAGAAAGCAAACGGTTACACTTACAAATACAAATAATATACTATATTATCATGGTTCTATGAGCATTAAAAGAATCCACGGGGGGGATGGAAATTAATGACACGTGGAACTATGATTTCGCCTTCCCATCTTTTATCTGTTTAATCTTAAAATAATAACAACAATACCTCGCCCACAGAGCGTTTATACACGACACGAATTCATATGAAAACAAAAAGGTTCTCATAAAATATAAACGAGTCCGGCTGAATAAATTGCATTCACGAGAAGAACAACATTAAAAAGTCCGCGGTGACAGTGCAGGCCTCAGCAGTGATGCCAATTAGGAGGTTGTAACACTGAGGTTGTAATTATTTAACGATATCATTCTGCTAATTGATAACGTCTTGTTAACAAAAAAAAAACAACTAAAATTAAAATACTATTGAAAACGTAATGTTCGAACGGAAATGTCTGAGAGAAATAATAATAGACCACAGTAAAGTTTGGCAACGGTCCAATAATGTGTAACCTACACTTGTCTTTATTGATTATATCCACCCGCACGCCAAAATGCTTTGCCGTCCAACTAGTTGTCAATATTCAATTTCCTATTATTATTTTTTCTCGTTTTCCCCCATAATATAATATATTATATAAACGATAAATTGCTCAAACTTATTTTCACCGGCCGGTCATGATAATATTATGTTATTATAATAATGACGATTATTTTTTCTTTACACTGTGTTTTAAACTTTGGACAGCGCCAGCAGTGGACACGATGATAATATTGTATTATATAATATATAATAATGTAATAAATGTATTTACATTTTACGCGATATGCAGATAGGTACCTAATTAAATTGTTTTTTATAATTACATTATTTAATATCCGTCGGTACACATAGTTTTTAATTAACTTTACATGTTTTTTATAATATATTGTATGTTTAAAAAAAAAAAGGAAAACATTATTATTTTCAACGGGCTGAAACATTTAATAACAATTTATAACGTTAAAAATATTGTCCTCTACACCGCGTGATAATTAATGACAATGAGTGGACCGATCAATACGTACAATAGGCTTGTGGTCAAAAATTGAAACTATTATTGCATTGTGTTCAGCTGATATTCATTGCATTGTACAAGTTGTGACGAGTTGTGACTTGATTCCAAATCCGTTCTTCCAATATAATACGTTTTCGTAATTTTAAAAGATAAGTCACGTAAACGACGCCGCCGCACAGCAACAATATAATGCGTCCCACCTAATGATAACTACTTAAAACAAAAGAATATGAAACTTGTTATTATATATTATTGCATTCACGAGGCCTGCGAGATAGCGGTGCCAATTATTCGCGAGGGAAATTGTTATAATTTTTTTCGTTTTTTTCAGCGTTATCGAAAAAGATACTGGACGGTTCGTTGAGTTTAGCCCCCGCAATGCTATTACAGATGTTGCGGAGATAAGCAGGCGAGTCTTTGGTAAAAAAAAAAAATGGGGTTTTTTTTCGCGTCTGAGGCGATCGAATTTTTTTTTTTTTTAATTTCCGACGCGTAAACCCGCCGGTCGCTAAGAATTCGAAAAATTACTAGCAAAAAGATTTAAAACGGAAAAAAAATGAGAAAGACGACAACCACACCGAATAACCGTCGTCGGCCCAACGTTCGTCTCGGACACTTATTTTTTTTCACCTCTATCGCGGTATAGGTACCACGTATACCGCATTCCGGTAGCTGCAAATGGAATCGGACCGGTGCACGTTTTTAGTGTCACCGGTCGTCATAGTTTTTTTTCGTCTACGCAGCCTCTCGATAGACAAGCTATGCGTATAAACACTATTGTATTGCACATAATACAATAATAATAATAATAATAATAATATTATTATTAAATATTGCTCGTTGTGCAGGCGGGGTATGCCCGTGGAAACCGAGCGACGGCTCAGAGAGTTGCTCTAAAAATAATTATATATAATATTTTTTTTCTTGTCCATCGCGTCGAATTCACGGTCGTTCGTCCGCCGATTTTTTATATGAGATCTTCATTGTTTATGGCCATACGGGTTTGGTACCTATAGCCAGGATTTATAATCGTAGTCATTGTGTTATTACTTATTATAGATACGTAGCTCGGAAATAAAAAAAAAAAAAACATCTAGAGATCAAAATTCAAATTTCGAACGGTGGCCACAATATTGTATTAAATTGTCTCCGGCCGCCGCCGCGCTTTTCGACGAGTTTTCGTCGGTATTTTCCAAAGTCGACAGCCGCAGCTGCTGACGACACTGACGAATTTTATGCCATCCATCCGATCGACTTGCGGAGGGGCCGGGCACGTCCAATTTTCTCCAAAATCCCGAAGCCACGTGCCCGTTCACCATGTATATATAGGAGCTGATAAGGAACGATTCCCGAGTGTTTCCCTCCGCGAACTGCAGTCGTAAGTCCGATACGATCGGACTCGTTCAATTTGTCGAAGAAACAAAAAAATAAATAATTTGCCCGACGACGTTTATCGCATGAAATACCGAATTCGAATTAATAAAATGTATTGAACGTGGTTTAGCCCCGGGAAACCAATGAATAACGTTGACGAGAGCATAATATTATAATGATGATGGTGATAATAATTTATCGTGATATAATTTTATTGCTGAACAATATTATTATTATTCTGGCTGGCGACCATTATCGTAAATCGATTCCGACTCGACGTGTATATGACGTTATACTAAGGTTATGGTACCTGTGCAGATTCCATCATGTCGTAATCGATCCTTATCGAAAATTAGGAGGTACGGTTTTATTGAATCTATTTGTTTTTCGTATTTTTTATTTTACACCCATATCATAATAATATTTTATTATTTTATATAGGTTATGGGCACTATACTGCAGGTATCAATGATGTGGTTACGTGGACGCACTACGGTGTGTATTTAGATCGTTATCGAATATGCATAATACCTATGAGTGTATAGGTATGCTGGCGTGTGAGAATTTTTTTTTAAGCCGCCTATATATACCTATTATAATATAAAATTCTCAGTATCACATACCCGGTAAAAGGCAAACAACGCGTCTATAATTAATGTTTCGCTCAGTTTTCATTTAATTAAAATTATTTTTTTCGTCATCGTTGCAAAGTCTGCAACGTCGAATTCGAAAAAATCATGTAATTACCTATAATACGCATAGGTGCCAAACCATACGAGTAATAGTATTTTTTGCATCATTGTAAAAAAAAATATTTTTAATCATACCTGCAGTGTTCTTATTTATAGATCACTGACAGTCCTAAGTCTCTGTAAAAATGAGAAGGGAAATGTTTTTTTACATGGACTATTGCAGCACCCGAATAAATCCCGGACCCGACTAGTGTGGTGCCTGGAAAACACAGGGGCCTAACTAGGTTGAATAAGGGTCTTTCGGACCCAACTAGTAAACGCCGGAAGAAAGTTGGATGTCGGTCAAAAAATCGAATCACTACTACGATAAAGTCGATATCGCGATTAATATTGTGTACAGGTACCTATAAAATATCATGTTTACTTTCAGAAAATCTCAATTTGGAATTTTGAAACAGAATTAACTCCATTCGTCTGTGCTGGTTTGTGCTCAACCCATTCCCAAGCTCTCCCATTTTCAATGTGGCTGGTGAGGGATGCTGGAGACATGTAACTCTGGATTTATAGTAATTTATCAAATGTATTATTACTCAATATAATATTATACTAATATCGACGAATGGAATAACGACGTTATAAATTTGCGCACACTCTAAAATGATATACACCACATTGTCATCAGATAACTTTATATTTCGAACGGTGTAATATTATACAAGGGGCGAAGCACGTTTGGGACGTTTGGGTACATTACATTACATTTTTACCTGTAAATTTAGAACACGTTTGGGTGCATAAGCTAATTGCCAATAGGTTATCGCGAAAAAAAAGATTGACAATCTTTATAAGATATGGTTTATGAAACTAACTAAATGTGTCAACGTTTCAATGTTCAGTTCCGATTTGGATTTTCAATCGGCAAGATTATTTTATTCTTTGTAATTATGGACGTGAACATTTCCGATGTTTTTGAAACCCGACGTGGGAAAACAAACGTGTGTTGCGATTAACAGTTATAAATTTAGTGAGTTTAGAGAAAACAAAGATACAACTAAAGTTTTTCGTTGTACGAATCGTAAATGCACTGCCACTGCTAAATTAACTATACCAATTTAAAAACGGTAATTTCAATAAATGGTGAACATGGTCATGATGAATTAGTTGAAGAAACCATTACTAAACAAACAATGATGTCACTTTTAAAGCGCAAAGCAACTACTGATCTTAACGTGAAGCCAAATAAACTTATACGACAAGAACTACTTAACTTCCCAAAATCAGAGCATCTAAGTCATTCTGACGTCAGGTTATTCAGGAAAAGTATGTATGAAGCTAGACGAAAAATATTTCTTAAAATAACAAAATCTTTATTCGAAGCAAAAGCTATGATTTTTCAAAATAAAAAAGATTTCGTTTCAAATAATGAACCATTTTGTTTCATGGATTCGGAAAGTAGTGTACCTATTTTTACAAATGCTACTAACATGTCTATTTACCTGTAAAAACATTATATAATTGTAATATATACAAAGAGTTAATAATAAATAATAAATAATAATGGTATAATATAATAATTTAAAAATTATGACAAGTAATTAAATATTATACAAAAATATTTTTGGTAGACTAAATAGAGCCAAAAACCTCGTGGTGTCTCCCTGGATAACGCTAATAGGCTCTACAAATTTAAAATTAATGATTAAGTATTAAAGTAATATTTTTCTAGGTGTTTCTAAATGTTATATTAATACCTATGTCCTATGTACCAAAACGTGTTACTTATACAAGTATTTTCATTGTATATTGTGGGCGAGGGTAATATGCGGTGAGGTGGAGAGAAGGGTGGGTATGCCTAGCCACTATTTTTATTGTGTCGACGTAAAACCAGAAAACATGAGTTCGATTTTTTTTTTTATTTTATTTATTTTTTTTTTATAAATCAAACAGTACTTTACCAGACGTCACTGCAGCGGACGGTGTGTTATATTCGTTAACAAATGTAATCGATTCGCTGTTCATCACTAGTGGGTTGAACGTCTGTTCCGAGGGCGAGGGGTGAACGCGAAATTACAATATATTTCACGCGCGTTATTGTACCATAATATAATATTATTATGTTATTGTAATTTGGCGATTTTTTTTCTTTATCTTTTCCCGAAGAATACCTCGGCAATAAATAAAACCAATTGTGCATTTGTGCTACTCGAATTATACGCGATTCGTGGAAACGCGTGATTGATAATAATAATAATATGTGGTTGCCGGATATAATAGCAATAATAACAATAATAATAAAAAAAAAAATGTTTTCTATATTATTATCGTGAAAAATATTGTGCCATCCGGCCACTCCCTCCGGACTTATTGTCCGTTCGGTAACGTATATAGTCAGCCGTCATTACGGAGACGGGTGCGATATTATTATTATTATTATTATTATATTTTACATAATGTGTTCACCTTTTAACATTTGCATAATATAACGTATAGCGTGTACACCCCATCACTGCAGGCGCGTAATGAATCAAAAATTATACTCAAAGACACACGCGCCGCATCGACTCTACCCGGTCATTTGATAATATTATAATAGTATACAAAGCGAGTTGAATGAAATCAACAACGTCACGACCCCACAACACAACAAATAACAATAATAATAATAATAATATAAATTATTACAATATTATAACTTACACACTCGTGTGGTGTCCGGGACGTCCGCGACCAAACTGCAGCTGAACGACGTTTGCGAAACGCTGGCACGTTATAATAATATGCATATAATAATAATAATAATAATAATATATAATGTCACTATTATTTATCAAATCCGTAGTAAATATAAATAAATATCCCTTCTAATAATGATCCGCTCTAAATATAAACGTATAAATAACAACAAAATAGGCATTTTTTTTTTTTAATGGTTTACATTTTGGTTAATCCTTAATTAGGTTATATCATTTGATTTCTTTTAAGAAGTTGACTATGTTGATTGGAGATCGGGCTGAAGGGCTTCACTTAATTGCTGTAGTATGTTGTGTTTGGATCTCGAGTCTGAGTACTTGAAACAATCAATGTGTTTGACATGATTCGCAAATGGGAGGGTCTTTTCTAGCCATGAGGTGCTTGCGTGCTGCAAAAGTATACAGAATGCAAAGGCGATTCAAAACGGTTTCATCTTTCCTATTTAAGCAGGGGTTTTTCCACACTTGGATATTGTTTTTTATTGTATTTAATTTGGTCCAGTGATTTTGCCATTTTTGGTATAGAACGCGCTGAGTGAGTATTTTTAAATCAGTGAAAGCCCTTAGGTTTAGAATTTGGGTGTCGGTGGATGAGGCTCCTTTGGATGCTTCTTGATCTACTAGTTCATTACCGTCTATTCCACAGTGTCCAGGTATCCACAGAAACGATATCTCTATTCCTTTTTGACTCAAATAGATATTTATTATTCAATTAATAGAATAATTTCAATAGTTTTAAATTGCATAAAAAATGTATTGATAGTCCAATTGAATCCATCGACTCTATAATTTAGCACACCGTTAGTTTTTCGCCAATCTGTAGACAATGTTTTCGTTTCTACAATTTTAGTCGACATAACTAACTATTAGACTTATAGCCTATATAGTTTATTATCTCTCTCTCCTACAGCTCAGCAATTGGCTTTGGAGGTGATCCATCCTATTATCAATCTCTATTATATCTAAACTGTAAATCGTAATATTGATGGAAAATATATATTAATAACCAAATATCATTGATTGCAATACTATGTTTACCCCGCAAAAACGAATGACAATTTGGACAAACCAAATGGAACAATATTATATGATTATTATTTTGTTATTAATTTCTGACACTGAAACGTAGTTATCAGGAATTTCAGTTGGTTTTTTTTTTAATAACAGTAAAATATAATACCTACGAAAAAAATTAATTTTAATATTTTTGTCGACCGGAAATTGAAACTGATATTAAAAATGTACAGTGTCAAAAGATTGCTCGAATAGCGATTAGTGTGACAGATATTTGACCGAGTACCACCTATATACATAATAATAATAATAATATTGTGACTTTAAATTTTAGGCTTTTGAAAATAAAAACTAATTTAATATTTTTAATAACTTTCCGGAAGTCTTATCGTCAAATAATAATTTTACTTACCATTTTATCTCGCTTCGTTATATTATATATATATATACCATCCAATATTTACAAGAGTATAATATTATTATGGCCGA